GGAGAAAAAAAGGGAAAACAGTGGGATCAGGACATTCCCAAGGGATAATCCCAAATCCCAGAGTGAGGGCGTGGCCCTCCCCTGTGCCACAGCCTGGAATTCTGCCCGTCCCGGAATGTTTGGGATTATGGTGGTGATTATTTTATACAGGGATTCCTGATTTCTGGGATTTTCCAGGAGTTTGGGGGCATTGAGGGACCTCAAATTTATGGGAGGTCCTGGAGGTCCCCAGGGACCCCAAATTTCTGGGACAATCAGGGATCCCAAATTTCTGGAAATCTCTGAATCTTTGGGGGACCCACAGATCTCAAACTTTTGGGATTCTCTGGAGGCTCAGGGGCATCCAGGGACCCCAAATTTCTGGGATTTTTCTGAGCCTTTGGGACACTCAAATTCTGGGATTCTTTAAGGGCTCAGGGACACCCAAGGTCCCCAAATTTCTGGGATATTCTGAGGCCTAGGGAGCACCCAGAAATCCGAATTTTTGGGATTCTCTGAGGGCTCAGGGACACCCTGGGACCCCCAATTTCTGGGACATTCTGAGCCTTGGGGACCCTGAGGAATCCTAGATTTTAGGGACACTCTGAGGCCTTTGGGGCACCCAGGGACTCAAAATTTCTGGGATTCTCTGAGCCTTTGGGACTCCCAATTTTTGGGATTCTCCAAGGGCTCAGGGGCACCCAGAGATCCCAAATTTCTGGGATTTTCTGAGGGCTTGGGGACATCCAGGAACCCCCAATTTCTGGGATTCTCCGAAATCCCAGAAACCCCCCAGGACCCCAAAATTTCAAAGCCCCTGAGGTGTTTTTTGATCACTATCCTCGAGATCCTTAAAATCCTTAAAAACCCCAAATCCTGGCTCTCCCCTCCATCCCGAGCAGCTCTATTCCCACATTAATTTATCCCAAAGCTTTTCCTGTCCCAAAAAGCTGCTCCYGATGCTGAAAYTACCTCCAGGARCTTTCCCTGGATCCAAACYCTCCCTGCCCTGGATTTAYGTGAACAAAAATTCGGGAAAAATCCCGAATTCYGGGAGTTGTTTTTTCCAGCGATTCTGCTGGATTTGGGGTGGGATCAGCTTGGCTCCCAAAAAAATTTGTGGCTGCCCCAATCCCTGGAAGCATCAAAGGCCRGGTTGGATGGGGTTTGSATCCACCTGGGACAGCGGGAATTGTCCCAATTCCAAACCAGGCTGGAATTCCACGAGGCTGAGAGTGCCTGG